AGTTTGGGGTAGATGAATTTTGGTCAATGGGAGATTCTAAATTTAAGTTGTTCGTAGAGTTAGATAAAAGATTTGAGATATAAGAATTTTGAGCGGGAAGGTATTGGGGAAGTCCAAGGTTTAACAGATTTGGAGGCCAGAAACTTGAGGTAGATGGATTTTGATCAATGGGAGATATTACTATTTGGTTATTTGATGTAGAGGAGGGTTCATTACTATTAAATATTTTAGAGTAATGTGAAACCCATATTTTCATTTGTATCTCTGGATCTGTAATTTCTTTTGAGTTGTGACTAAGTTTAAAAAATTGCTCTTTTTTGAAAGAAGTGAAGGATTTCAATAATTTAAAAGCTTTATATGAATCATTTGCACTGAACGAATTACTTATCTCAGTGGCACGATCCTCAAGGAATTTCCTCTTATCTCTTCTGAGTTTATGACTTATATCGTTTAGGATATACATAGCTCTGTTTCTCCTATAATGACCACTCCCCACTAGATTTGAAATAAGATAAATTAAAAATACGTATTTTTAATTTTTGGAAGGCAATTAATAATTCCTCTATCTGCTGTTAATTTTTATAAATTTACTAACCCAAACGATTTTAGCCTTTTATATTAATATATTTTTTAGTGTCAGAATATAATTTTATGGAAAGCATAAGAGTGTACATGAACCTCTGGTGCAAAAATGACTAAAATTCAGAATTCAATTTATCTAAAAGAGAATGTTGAAAAACTGAGTCAAGTTTTAAATTGACATAGACAAATGTAAAATATTTAAAGACATAAATATAAAATAGTTTTTTATTTATAAAATTATATATTTTAATAGGCTGCACAATACCTTAATGAAATCAAAATATTGAAATTGCTTCATTTGAGGATACTATAATTTCTGTATTTTATTTTATTTTATTTTATTTTATATTCTATTATATTTATTATTGAACAAAAGCTAGATCAAGATATTTCTAATAAAGAAAATGAAAACCCCATAAATATTAATAAAAATATTCCTATTCCATCTATTAAAAGAAAAAAATTAAAAATTATTGAATCTGAAAGAACAGTAATGTTAAAAGGTAAAATAATTTTATAATAAATAATATTATTATAAAAAATAGATATTTTAGATTCAAACAAACTGAAGAAGATCAATGATAAACACCATATGATGGGGTTTTATCAATCTTATTTAAATCACACAAATGCACTGTCAATAGAAGATATATTTAAATTTAAAAAATTATTTATGTAAAATATTTAAATTTTGTATTATATTAACTCATATATAATAATTTATATTTAATATGGAAAAATTATATTCCTAATAAGTCATTAAAAACAATTATTATATCAGGTTTTCCAACTGTTTATTTAATATTGATACAATTATTTACAACATATATGTATTTATTAATTATACAAATAATATTTAATTATCACCATTATCAATAATATAATAATCTACATATAAATGTAACAATAGTAGCTACTGATGATTTGCTAATTTTTGCAAATAAGGCTATTTTTCTATAACTCATTCCTGTTGTCAAATATCTAAAAATATTAAGCTAATTTATTAAAAAAATAAAAATCATACACAAGAGTTATATAAAGCCTATTCTTCATACTAATATTGTTTTTATGTATGACTTTAGGGGTCTTTATTTCATTCACGTTAGAATATAATTAAAAGTTTCCACATGCATGTGAAATGTCTCACGGAATTTATCAGGATTTTAAAGTATAATGTCAAATATTTTAAAAAGTCCTTGATCTACATAATGAATAATATATTTATTAATATTCTAATTATAATATACACCTAAATTTGAAATATCTGTAGTCGTATCTCCAAATATTATATAATAAATAACTAATAATTGAATCATATCAAGCATTTCAAATATTTAATTTTTTATTTTAATTTTGTTAAAACTTAAATGTGTCCAAATTGTTTTGTTATTAATTTGCGAAAATTTTCAAATTTTAACGATTTTTTAAAAACATTTTGGACGCAGCCTAATAAAAAAAAAGGAAATTAAAATGGCGTATCACCAGCTGATTTGTATTCAACGACACTTCAAAAATGTATTTTAATAAATGAATAATTAGTCTGTAGTATTGTTAAACGGCTAGATTTAAAAAAAAGGCTAACCAAATATATTAGCCAAAAAATATAATGCAAACCTCAAAATTTTGTTAATAGAGGTCCAAACCTTTCTGCCATCTATGAGCAAATTTTCCAGTCTTGCCTAATATTTTTTGGCTAATATATTGGGTTAGCCGTTATTAAAAATCGAGCCGCTTAACAACACTAACAGTCTATGTGAGTTTTAAATGTCACCGAGACATAATATAATCAACACTTGACTGATAAACGCTACATAATAAATGGGACCAATTAAAGCCAGATGATCGCCAACTTATTGTAGGTTTGGTAATGCAATAATCATGAGGAACGATCAAAATGTATGATTCAACCTCAATTTGGCAATTAGCTGATTCCCATTAGTCCCGTAGCATTTTATATATACGATGGTCAGTTTAATGTTATAATACTTTCAGATAATCGGAATCACTTGAAAATCTTTAGTCCCTTATGCCCCCCAAAAACGTAACGCCACGATTTTTTTCTAGCCCGTAAACTTCATATCTCATTCAACCTCGCAAATTTTATATGAAAATTACGATGGTCAGTTTAATGTTATAATATTTTCAGATATTCGGTATCACTTGAAAATCTTTAGTCCCTCCCCCCAAAGACGTGACACCACTATTTTTTTCGGTCCCATAAACTTCATACCTCAATATATAATCATATCCAACAATTTAATTAAATTAACCCAGTAGCGTAGCCGGAGGAGCGCCAAATGCTTTAATTTTTTTTTAACTCATAAGCCTAAATTTTCTGTTTCAGCAAGCTTATATTTCCTATTATGGCGAGTCTACATTTCCTCTTTTTTTCACTCATGTGAACGTTCGGTCTCGGTTCTCAATAGAATAAAGCAATACTTAAACAAAACTATGAAGCCTCGCAGGCGCGTACGCAGCGGGTGGGGACAACCCCCCCCCCCCCAAAGCCAAAAAAGGCAGATGCCGGATTATATTTTTAATATTATTGTTAAAATTAATTTATATTTGTTAATATTTATTCCTATCTCATATATATATTAATTACATTTATTTATCACATTGATCTACTAAGTTATTTTATCAATTAATTTCGATTTTAAGTTTTTCTTGGCGTAATTTACCTATTTTCAAATTTTAGTGGCGTATTATTTATCTAAATTTCTAGTCAAATAATAATTATCTCTGAAACTCCTTGTCCAACGGAGAAAGAAATTGCAAGCTTGTCCAACGAGATCGAGTCTCCGCCATCAAGCAGTAACAGCTTTTATGGAGTTAGAAGAGCCGATTATTAATGCTATTACTGAAATATCACAAAGGCTTGAAAGAAATATTTCCTCAGAAGCAAGAAAATTATAGGATTCAATACTTATTTCAAATTTTTTTTCTCATTAAAATGTATTATTTAATTATACAACTATTTTATGTAATACTTTTCAAAAACATGACATCTTGATTAAGAAGATGTAGCGGAGAGCATTTTATTAAAACTCAAGGAAATTAGAGCTAATTTGATAATAAGCAGAGCTATGCGTGTTTAATATTTGTCCCCCTCGACTTGCAGCAAGAAAGCTCATCGTTAAAACATTAATATAGGATCAGTAGAAGAGTATTATAAAACAAATGTCCCCTCTCTTAGATACATTTATAACCCAATGCAGCACTTACAAACACAAAAGCCTTTCCAACCTTTTCAGATAGTGATAGAAAAAAAATATATATTTGTTAGATTTTTATCATGAAGATGTTAAAATATCTTATGAGGCCTTATTAGCTGAACTATGATTAAAAGATTAACTATGGTTGATACAGTCCCAAAAAATGCTATGGATGCTTTGCGTTATCTCAAACACATTTTAGATTATATTCCCAATGTATTAAAACGGTTATATATATATTAATAACTCTTCCCATTAGTAAACTAATGAGAGAACATTCTCTTTTTTAAAAAGAATAACAGAGCCCTGCAGAGGTACCATTTGCAAAAAAAATTTCGGGTCCGGCCCGAATTTTTTTAAAATAAATTACATTTATTTTTGATTTTTATAGCTAATAATGGCGATTTAAAATATACAGCTAGGCCCGGATATTTTTTTTGAAAAAATTTTCAGGCCCAGCCCGGGTATGTTTGAAAAAATTAAGCTGGAGCGGCAAGTCTCTGAAAACATATCTATGAAATACAAATTCTGGTAGATTGAATGATTTGGGTCTTTTGAATATTCATAGGCATTTAACGCCAAGCAAGGATAGATTGAAAAATTAGCTCAAAACATACAAAATACAATTATTCCTAAGAAACTTGTATTAATTTATATTTGCAACATTTAAATTTTTTATACTTTATACATTTTAAAGGCTCAAAAAATTCAAATTTCAATTTCGGGTCATTTATGTGATTCATATCGTGGTTATATTCAATTATTTTATAATTCACATTTATTTTATAGTTTTTCAATGCCGATTTATATATAATTTTTTTGTAATTCACATTAATTTAAAATTGTGTATTAGAAAAGCTATTAGTCATAATATGCTTAGTATTTTTAATTAACAATAATATTTCTTAAAAAATTTTATTATCCCCCCCCCTAACCAAATTCCTGCGTACGCGCCTGAGCCTCAGTATAGGGAGAACTTTTATTATCTTAAAATGATATTTAGAAAAACAGAAAAATTTGCCGTGGGAGATTCCCTGCCCAACCCCCATTTTCTTATATGAATAGGTTGTAGCATGTACATAAATACGTGGAAATATTTATGGTAATAATAATATAAAGAAACAAGTATTTTATTTCTTTAGTTATTTATTTCGATATTTCTTTCTGCTCCACCCCCTTTTCTTTCTTTAACCCTATAAAAACCTCCATAACAGCTTTGACGAATTCTTTTTCGATCCCGGATGATGTAGTGCTGTACGTAGAATTTCTTTTCGAATCATCGAGCGAAAAACTAGAACCAGAGGTAACATTAAGAAAATCAAGGGGAGGTGCAATTAAGCCTATGCCGTCATTTTCTAAGCATTTCCTAACTTTATCCGCTATGTGGTCGTAAGATGACGAGGCGTGTCTAACGAATTTATAGAGATAAATAAATTAAATTTTTTATTAATAAAATAATAATTTAATCATACCTAATATTCAAAAATTACATTGATATTCATTTCAAAATTTATAAATCGAATATAAATAATAGAAAATAATAGGCGAATAATATTATTAATTCTTATTCGTATCAATCGAAATCGAATTATTAAGATATGGAAGGTCATTGTCAATCAAATATTATATTTTTCTGCATTGATTATAGTAAAATAGTTTTTCTTGCTACTGAATTTACTATATTCGTATTTGATCATCTTTATAAATATTTTCCTTTACAAGGAAAATATTGCATGCAAATAAGAAATTAAATAATTTGAATTAAAGAAGAGACAATTAGAAAAACATGTTTTAAAAGTGAAACGTTAACGTTGTATTTATTAAAATTAAATATTAATTCTTTCCGCATTAAAATTAAAAATTATAATTAATAATTTCAGTTAAATTATTGAATTTGAGTTATAATTGATTTGATTTTATGATTATTGGATATCAAACTTTTTAAAATTTATAAATATGAGGCAAAATTTTCAACTTTTTAAGAAGCATTAAAAAAATTATCGAAAAATTGGGGTATTTTTTCTAATTTATTTTCATCGGTAGATATTTTTGTCCAATGTTTTTTTGACTAGGACATTTATGTCAGTGATTCTCCTAATTTTTATTCTGTAGTGTTTTTAAAATTTTTTTACTTTGTTAAATAATATGAAATAAAATTAACATAAATGATTTATTTTTAAATTTTTTTTAATTTTTAATCGAACCGACATTTTTTTCAAGTCTCAAGCCCGATCTGTTCCGAAAGATTTCAAGGAAAACATGAAAATTGTAAGGACCCGGGAAGAAATTCAAGTTTTCTTCTAAAAATGGAACATTTTTTAAATTTTTTTGTCGTAGTTCGACCAGAGAATCTTTATCCGAGTTTGACCAGAAAACGCGACCAAGTCCGAAGACCTGAGTCGGACTGATCCTAGTTTCGAATAGAACAGATCCGTGTAGGACACTAATTTATAGTATATTTAACAATTGCCGTATATTCAGATTGATTAAAAAAATATAAGAATTATGAATAAAAATCTTTAAAAAACCACCTTCTAGCCAATTCCGCCAGTACCATTCCAGAAGCTATGTATCCGATGCGGGTCTGAAACACGAATAAAGCATCCGATTTACAATTTAGCAAGTGACAAAGACAGTTATAAGTAACCGACTCGTTTAAAAAATGAAGAAAAATGGCCGTCAAATAATAGATTTGAGGAGCGTAAGATATGTCCGGATGAGTAAATTCTAGTATGCTCACTATCCTCTTTACGCCTAACTTTTGTAAAATTTCATTCAAATAAAAATTTGTTTGAAATAAAGTTTAAAAAGAATCATAAGGTGAAATTTTATATAATGGCACACTTTTACCATTTTTAAAAAATTTAATTTATGGAATGGGACAAAAATAAATGTTCAGCAGTGTACAGACCGAATTTGCCAGACATAATAACTAGATTTCACATGGTTTCTAGACTCAATCTGAATGCAGCCGAACATTTTTTTGAATTTTAGGATTATGATTTAAACCATCCCGTTTGACCTTCACTAACGCAGAAAATTTTTAATACAAAGTTGGCCAAATTATTCTTTTTTTTTAAAAAAATATTTGATTTAAATTAGCCAAAATCTTAAGTTGTAGTTTAGAAAGACAAAGCGAAGTCTATTTAAATTATAGTTTTTTTTATTGGTATTAAAAAGTCAAAACGAAATAAACAACCTGATAAATCGGAAAAAATTTAAAATGAATTACTTTTTCTTTTTTTTTAAATTTTTTTTACTAGATTCAATATTAAAAAAAAAATTAGTATACATATAAATAATTATTTTTTAATTTTTAATTAATTCGTTTGTTCGTCTTTGTTTCAGTATTATATAGGCAGCAACTTGATTACTCGTTGCATTGGCAGACGCCAAATCAAGGTACTTTTTGTTTAAATTTTTTTTTCTAAAAAAAGCCAATAAAACATATTAATTATGTGCTAAAAAAACTATTGCAAAACGAATAAAAACTCCTACAATTAATTTAATTTTTTAAATTTGAAAAGCTTGATCATATTATATATGTTTAGGAGCAAGTTATAAATTATTTATGTTTTAAAACCCATACCTTCCCTCGCAAGTCACAAGATCTATATCAAAATTTTTCTTATAAAAAAGCGTTTACAGATAAAATCATTTTTGCTATATATAGTGAGATCAAACCAGATGACCATTTCAACGCAATTATAAAAAATATCTTAGGTTTTAAAAAAAAAATCAATATTCCAAGTTAATATTTTTTTTGGTAGAGATTTATATAAATTTTTTTTAAATTATTATTATCAGAGACCTGTAGGCATGGCCCGTAATTTTTAAATATACCCGGGCAGGCCGGGTCTAAATTTTTTTTTAATCACGGTCGGGCCTAAAAAAATTTTTAAAAAATACCCGCGCCCGGCCGTGCAAATGGTACCTCTGTAGTCCCTGATTATTATTAGAGGCATTCTTTATATTCTTTTTCTAGCAAGAAAGGAACGGATAAAAGCGGGATACAAATGTAGCTCAAACTACAATATCTATTTTTCTTTATTAGATATAGTCCAGTTTCATATTTTTAAAGTATAAATTAAGCCAGTTATCAGACCAAAAATATTTAATTTTTTTTGAATTATTCTTAAACAGGACAAGAAAAAAAATTATACAAAAAAATCGGTTTTAAATTTAAAAATAATTTTTTTTAGGAAAAATTTGAATACCGCGCTCCCGGTATTTTGGACAAGATTGTTGGCAAGAGCATAATGAGCAAAGAAACAGCGTGTTCTTGCGCACCAACCATCCCCATTATGCTCTGGGTATAATGTGTATTTATTAAGAAGATATTCTTATTCAGGATAATTTATTATTTTATACTTATCGTGGTAATCATTAAATTACGATTATCTTAAATAACAAAAATTTGATTTTGTGATATAAGAAAATACGCCAATTTTTTTAAAAAATATTTTTTTGTTTCAAATTGATTAATAAACCTCAAAGGCATTTTTATATATTTTTTGTTTCAATATCTTCTTTATTTTAAAAGAAAAAAGATAGAGTGAATATTAAGTTTAAGTTTAATATTTTCTTTAAAAAATTAACAATTTTTTAAAAGAGTAAAAACATTCGATTTCTTAGGGGAAATCCAAGATCAAGATGTATGGGTAATATAACAGTGTACAGAAGAATAAATGTGATTTTAAATGAGAACATTTATTTATATACTATATAAAAAAAATATGAATAAAAAAATGTCATCAAATTGGTTCCTATTATATTAGAAATTTGCAAGGCCCGACCTTAAAATAAGGGTAATGATGTATAGCGTGTTTTATGTGTTTTATTAAAATATAGTGCTGTAATTTTATCCTTATATATAAAAAATTTTGATGATTTTGAGTAGCGTCTGCCTAGTTGGTTGAGGGCGTGTATCACAATCCGTTAGCGCTCGGTTCAAATCCAGTATGGGTTAGGTTTTTTTAAAACTAACTAGGTGGTTACGTCCTTGGGAGGATGATATATACTAGATCAGACTCGACCACGTGATTCCGTTGATATATATTAAAAATAAATGAGTCTTATTGCATTTAAATAAATTGTAGTCATTGTTTTAGCAAGTGGACTAACGTCATATATCATTACCCTTAAAATAATATATTTTTTTTGCTTATAATTTTAATGATCAAATGTCCTGTAACTATGATCATTCATCTAAGAACGATTTCCCTTTCCTACATTTTGTGTTTATTGCTATAATTAGGGGCGAACTCGGAGAGAAAAGGCCCTCTAGGACGAAAGTTCAAAGGGTCCAAATTTTTTTTTGAGTTATTTTTACTTACACATCTTTATATGAGACCTCCAGGCCTGGCCCGGGTACACAGGTAGTTAATTTTTTCAAATATACCAGGGCTGGGCCTAAAAAAATTTTTTAAATACCCAGGCCGAGGCGAGTATTTTAAAATCTAATATTTTTAAGTCATTATTAAATATAAAAATAAATGTTTTAAAATATCAGGGACTGGCCAGGCTTGAAAATATAAAACTCGCCGGAAAAAATAATCTGGACCAGGCCAAAAAATTTTTTAAAAAAAACAATCATGGCCGGAACGTTCAAATGGTGCCTCTGCAGGTCTCTGCTTTTATATTATTTATTGAGTATACTGTATATAAAGTTAAATATAACATCACATAAAATGCTAATTTAATATATATATAATATTTCTTTTCTTAGCATAATAATTTTCACCTTAATATGAGAATTTATAAATTTCACTTAATTCATCTCTACTAATTCACGTTCAACTGCCATCATTAAAAAGGCGCATACCTAGTTAATTGTGGCCAATATTGGCAAGTAGTCTATTTTTAAATTATTTTTAGTTTACCGAAGTTCGTTAACAACTCATTTGTGAAAAAGATAATGTAAGAAAATATTCGTATAAAATAATAAGTTGATTTATGCATATATAGCTTGCTTGCACTTTTTTTGCATTTGGTTAGCGATTCTTCACTACAATTTTCTTTCATAACCTTGAATTATTTTTATTATCACTCCCTGTTCTGTTATTCCATAAATACTATGAATAATCATGTCAATTGCCATAAATTCACGAAAATCAAATTAGTTATTTTCGTATTTCAGGAACAAAGCAAAGCCTTTTCAGTTATAACTTCTTTGCTAATTTCACAAACTGTCTAGGATAAAAATATTTGGCATCCATTATATGGTATTGATATTTTAAAAATCTTTCTGTAAAACTGGTTACTATATCTCATCAATAATAACGCTGAATACCATAATTCGGTAGATTTGAAGTGCATCATTTGGACATATATCTGGAAATCCCTCATGACTTTTTTACGACTAACTACAGAATATTATTTCCATTTTATAGATATATCTTAACCAATTTTATCGATAATATTTGCCATATTGGTGGTTGCTTTTATATGCATCAAAGTGAAGTTTATAAAACTCACAAAAAATTTACCATCTTCAACTATTTTCCAAATGGTTAGGATTACTAAATTTCTTGTTTACGTATTTTCATAGGGCTCAATTACTTCAAAAATCAAATAGAATTGAGCCATTAATAAGTTTTAAGTTTCCATAATGTATTTAATAAAGCTATATATATGTATATATTATTAAGACACTTATATTAGTCGGCAGTAGCACATACGTGCGCCATTTCGTTTTACCAATTTTTTAAGTTTTTTGAACCTTTAACCTGGTATGCATAATTTTTCGTCCATCCTTTTATATTTAAAAAAAGTGACAAGTCTGAAAATAAGATTGAGATTCTCTGCCTCAAGAGTATTACATGTATCAAACGCATAAATTGAAAATATGGCTATATAACACCATATAAATACTATCTGATAACAATCGCTTTGCTGCTCAGTCAAACAACCCTCTATTCATGTGCTTTATTAGCAATCATATTCAATAATCGAAAATTTATTTTATAAAAAAAACACTTGAAAGACCCCAGTTTTTATATAATCTTGGGACCTCTTAGAACTTTTCCTCGTGAGGCTTACTGACCAGTCTGCCGCTGGCTTTAATAAGAAAATCATGAAACCTAAATTATCATAATAATTAGTAGGATATGGATTTAAAAGGGGTCTTTGAGAAACTTTAATTAAAAATTAGAATTAGGCCAGGTACATATTCGATAAAAACAAAATTCCAACTAGGATGGGCTTGAAAACTTTGTAATTTGCAGAACTCTAGTTCTTACTATACAAAAAAATCATATTGGCTTAATATGCAGAAGTCTCACTGAAATGAACTCTCATATAATCCAATTAGTTTTACTGATAAGGAATGACATAATACCTACCTAGATCAGTGATGCATTTATTAAAATGCATTTTGAAGCATCGTTAAATATAAATAAGCTCCTGATAGGCCATTTTGATTTCCCATACACTCATTTTTTATATTAAAGTTTCTTAAAAAATTTTAATATAAATAATTTATATGGGAAGCCAAAATGGCACGTCACTATCTGATTTGTATTAATTAATAAAAATTGTCTAGGTAGTATTATATGCCTTTGGGAACAGCTTCTTCCCTACAGCAGAGGCATTTCCATTTTATGATTTTTTAAATGATTAATCAATATAATTGAAATTTATTTTTTAATCAGTTCATTATGGCCTAAATTTTTAAAATTATACCATCTTCTCTAAACCAAATTCTAGAATTAAGGTCTTTGCTTCCTATAAAAAAAAGGTCATTTTGATTTTACCATTTAACCATAATGCATTTTAATGATTCTGCTTTATATTTGCTTCTTAATGGTGTTTATTTCTTGATAAATATAGAATTGATAATTGGTACAAAAGTCAAATAAATTTTTTTAAGATTAAAAAAATATATTCTCTTTTTGTGAATTTTGTACTTATTTATACCCAATGGCTTCATTAAAAACAAAAACAAGCATAGAATGCTTAAATTCAATTTGAGGGTATCCAAAATAGTTTAAATTTAAGCAAGCATTAAAAAATATTTGACTAGCAAGCTTAAATTATTAAAGAATAAACCCTTGCTTTCTTTCTTTTTTGTCTATAAAAATCTTCAGTTATTTTATAATTACTCACAAAAAAGTAGCCACTTAATAATTCTCCCCTCCTTTTTATATAAAAGGCAAAATTGTTTTATCGTATATAAATATTTATTTAAAAAAGCAAACTTTTCCTTCATTGTTTAGGTGATAATGCGACATAAATCTTGTATCTATGAAGGCTGGAACAGGAAAATCTTGATCCGTTAGTTGATCATTGGCTTTACCAATCAATTGAGGAAAGTATTGGACCAAAATGTCTTCAAACTTATTAGCAGTAGCTACATTCTTACCGCCTACTTTGAGACATAATTTTTGCCAAATTTCTGATCTAATGGGTTGATCTATAGGCCAGTTATTGTTTCTCATGTAAGCTTTAATCATCTGAGGGTCACCAGAGGATAAGATGGCATCAAAATCATGTAAAATACGTTGAGATGGGGATTCAAATTGAGAATCAAGCTGAATAATGGAGGATGGTAATTGTGACGGCTTGGATTTAGAAACAGAACTAGACCTTATCTTCTCGTCAGAATCTTTATAACTATTATCTCTAACATTGTTAGGTGATGAAGTTAATTGTGGTGATTTTGGTAATTTAGGGGAGGCAGGAGATGAAAATGGTTTGGTGTAAGTTGGGAGTGATATAGAAAGGGAAGCTACCATTTTTTTAGTGGCAGAGGCTAAAGAACTAGTGGATGATACTATGGAACTAGGAGAAGTTTTAAATGACATAGACCCAAGGCTATATTTATTAGCATTAATTGCAGAGTTTAGAGCCTCTAATGAGGGTGCAGTAGTATATTGCAAATTTGAATGATAGTCATCATTATCATATATAAAATAAGTGTCCCCTTTTATAGAGGATAGAAGATCTGGGATATTTACTAATGGAGTAAATGATTTTTTTCTCAAATATTTAGAATGTTCTTCCATCAAAGGGTCATCCATTATTGAATCATCATTCAATGCTTTTGTTGAAGATGCTAGAACTTGATCTTTGCCAGATTTACCGAAGCTAAAAGAGAAAGAGGGTGGACTAATTTTAAATTTAGGTGACTTTTTTGTATATGAGGAATCAGATTTCATCTTAAGAAAAACACAAGATAATAATTATGAGTAAATTTTTATTTCATTTAGCAATCTACATGAGGATTGTATTATATTCATTATCAAATTTGTGCAACATGTTCATGCTGCATTTTATTTAATTTACCAATATCAGTTGATATTAATTTAAATAATAAATATATAATACACATAAATATTTACCATTACAAAATTATATTTCATATCTACATAGACAATTTGAAAATAAGTAATAATTTAAATATCATATTGGAGATTTCCTGCCTATGATCGTATCGACACTTCATCGTAAAGTTTCGTCCAATTCTGTGATTGGTTCATTAAAGTGAGGGAAAAGTAATAGTTTAAAAATATTTTTATTTATAATCATTGTAATGGAAATTAAAACGGTATCAAACAATATCACAATTCTTCTTGAGAAAAGAATTAATCCCGATATAATTCAATGTTAACAATCTAGATAATAATCAATTTTGTAATTTTAGAAAACAAAATTACTAATAAAAAATCCAAATGATGACATGATATTCTTTGTTTTAATTATTTGGAATATACATTGCATAGAGTAATTAATTCCAAATCATATTACCGATGTAGAAGAAAAAGTTGTTCTTGACGGGGTATTTTTCAATCATTAAGTTCACAGAAACTCAGGATCATACCTTAGAACAATGTAAATCCCCTATTGGTAAGTTTTTTTTATAGATAATTCACTATAACACCTATTATTTAGTCAATAACCTTCTACTTATGTCTGATAGTCAACCAATAACTCAATTCCAATTATCTCAACAAATTATACAACCTTCATTATCAAGTTTCATAAAATATTAGATTTTTAAAATCAATATAGTTTTAGACTATCAGCTTACTCAATCTCAAATTCTAGCAATGCCCAACATGCAGTCTGCTAATACCATATCAAGTTTCACAAAATAAAATTTCTATAATCAATTTTTTTTAGGCAATATGTTTACTCAGTCTCAGTTCTTTGTCACAAACTCTCAACCAACTTTAACTAGTACCATCAATTATTATCTTTTTATATTCATTACTTTTAGGTAATATATTTGCTCAATCTCAACCCCTAGTAACACCTAACATGCAACCTCTTAATGCCATATCAAGTTTAACAAGTTATCAAATTTTATAATCATTTAATTATTAGGCATTATATTACCTCATAGGAATGACTCTAAAAAAACAAATTCTAAATATATCCTAAAAGAAAGAAATTTGGAAAAGCTGACTACACAATATAATAATCATATTATTAATAAATTGGAGTTTGCTGATAAATCATCAGCTTTATATTTATTTTAATCATGTTTCTTTGTTTTATACATTTTAAATAATAAATATTTGTCTTATACATTATAAATATTTGTCTTATACATTATAAATAATCTATATTTGAATAATAAAATGCTTCTTAATTTTCTGTAAAAATTGAATCCTATAATAACATAAATAAATACATTTAAAATTACATTTTTACCATTCCAAATGAATTAATAACATTTGTACCTTTCCAAATGAATCAATAACATTTTTACCATTCCAAACCTGTTAAATATAATAAATAATACATTAAAAATTAAATTTTTACCATTCCAAATGAATTAATAACATTATTACCTTTCCAAATGAATCAATAACATTTTTACCATTCCATACCTGTTAAATATAATAAATAATACATTAAAAATTAAATTTTTACCATTCCAAATGAATTAATAACATTTTTACCTTTCCAAATGAATCAATAACATTTTTACCATTCCAAACCTGTTAAATATAATAATAATACATTAAAAATTAAATTTTTACTATTCCAAATGAATTAATATCATTTTTATCACTTCAAACATTTTAATCTCCATTTTGAACGAATTGGACGAGTTGGACGAAAAATACGATGAAGTGTCTTACGATCAAAGGCATCCCCCCCATATTGGATATGTCAGTTAGCCAAAAGGCTAACAGATTTTCAAAAATTTTAAAATCCAAATATAATTTATATCATTGAAAATCTCGATAAATTTTAAACGAGATTTAAGATTTTTTAAAAAGAATAATTATCTATGTTTAATATTTCAAATACTGTCAAAATTGATCTCGATCCTGGTTCGATCATAAATTTGGCAATTTCCTCGGATTTATGATCCTGTATAAAATTGAGGATCGTGATAGAGTCTATTTAGTTTTCTCGATCCTTTTAAAAATTTATTTTTTACTTAAAAAGCAATAAAAATAAATATTTTTTTAATTAAATTAAAATATTAAAGAATATCAATATCATCATACTCCGTCATATTTTATATTCATAAATTTTATCGAGACAGCGTACAAGTTTTATTTATTTAATTATATTTAATATAAATTAATTCTAGGTTTTAATATAGATTTAGAAGATTATACACCTACTAGTAATGTATAAATGAAATTTTTAACCTTTCATAAGCCACATAAGTATTTTGCATTATATGAAACTTATGAAAGTAACTACGCCATGATAACTGAGTCATGCTCTTTATGTAGGAAGAACATATCGTCTTCAAATGTTAGTAGTTGAAACTTCAAAAGGCAATTAAATATTTTTCGAATTTTAAGCATGCATGCATTTTTTAAATAATTTGCGAAAATTTTCAAATAATGTGAACGTTTTCATTATAATATTGGATTATGGCCTATACTAATATCAGCTGTATAAATTGAGAATACAATAAGAACAACTAGTTTAACTATGCAAATCTGAAGATGAGATGCAAAATCTCATTATTATATATTTAGTATACACACTCTAGTTCCACTCACCATCAGCATTTCTCCTACTTCATCATAATTCCCACAATACAATAATACTATCACTAATGATATAGATCAATTACCCCTTTATGAAACCTTTTTTTTTGCAATCAAATCTTTTATATCATGATCACATATAAAAAACTGATTTGAAGATAGAAAATAAAAATTATAGAAATATTCCAGATAGAAAAATTTAAATTTATCAGTAAATGTATTATATAATTAATGGCATTTGTCAGCAAAAATTACATCATATCCTACTTTTATGAATTTTGAACTTTAATTTACAGAACAATATATAAATTTTGCCATAAACATATCCGTGAATTTTAACCTTAAAGGTTTTCCCTCCTTGAGGCATATTATACCACTCTATTGCATCTTGGTGTTCAAGTATACACACTCTGGTTCCACTCACCAGTGGCGTCACTAGGGGTGGGGGAGGGAGGGGCGCGCAGGGGCTCAAGCCCCCTGAAGCAAAAAAAATTTTTTTTTAATGGTTCCTTAATAATATTCCCTTAAATTAAAAAGAACTTTTTTTGATTGTCCCCTGTTTATTATAATTCTATTAAGTAATATATAGATTTAATTTTATTATTTAAAAATTAATAAGACTATCTAAATTTTTATTAGATTAGATTAATACATATAAATTATATTTTCACTATGTCAGCTTGCAATCAAATTCTTTGAAAAATAAAATATCAATACCATGCTTAATGTTTAAATATCAATTTAGCATTAACAGTTGAAGTTTAATTGATTTTTATTAATTAAATTATTATATAACCCTAATTAAATAAATATAAAGATTTATTAATTGAAAATTAACAAATTTAATATTGTAAGCCGAGTTTAAAATCACTATTTAAATAAAATGACTTTGCGATTTAAAAATTTAAGCATTAAAGACTTTATGAAAAAAACTAAAGATAAAAGTAGTAATAATCTTGAGGACCAAAGAAGAGGATTCAATAATAAAGCTTGTGATGAACAAAGTATATTTTATACAGTTTTTAAAATTCAAACTTTGATTTAGTTGAAAGACGATTAATTGTAGTTTTAAAAGATATAAATATTGAAAACAAAAATGTTAAAAGAAAGAAAATAGGTAAATAAATTTATATATAGGTCTGTGTCCAAAATGTTTTGAAAAAATCCTTAAAATTTTCACAAATTAATAATAAAACACTTTGGACATTTAAGTTTTAAAAAATAAAAATTTATTAGTTAATTATCTATTTTAATGGAAGGTTTCTTTTTCACTTGATCATAATTGAAGTTATATGTTTTTCCTATTTCCTCCCAAATTTGCCTAATTTCTATAGAATTTCTATTTAAGTCATTTTTCACCAGAGTATTAAACAATATTGATTTCTTTAGTTTTCAAGTTAAGCAAAAATTGCTTTACAAATATATTTTCACATTTCAGGAGCAGGACACTAGAAATGGAAAATTTTTTTTAAATTTTTCTATTATAATCACATAAGGTGATGTCAAAATATTAGCTAAATAAAACAAATATTTTCTATATAAATTGTCAATATCTTAAAAAATCATACACTATTATTCTTTTTACATTAATAAAGATAATATTGGCTAAATTGTTTACTCAATCATTCTTTCATAATTTGATAATTATATATTTATTTGTTTATCCTAACTTAATAATAAACTATATTTTAATAAAATGCTAAACAAATTTAGAATAATTTGCTTATTTATATATATTTTTGAAAAATGGACATTATAATATGGAATATTACTTTTTATATATTATATTTACAAAAATAAATACACTGAAAAGAAATACATTTTAAAATTAATCTTATTTAGATTCATTGAATAATGAAGAAAGTATTGTGAATGACATGATTGTAAATAATGTAAGTACAGAAGGAAATAAAATAGGTAAAAAATTAATTTATATATAAGATATTTTATTTATAAAATAATAGAAGCACTATGTGTGGCTCAATCTGAAGATATATGTGTGATCCAATGTACAGATATCTCTGAATGTATTAATTTTTTAAATATAAGTGAAGAAAGTATTGTGAATGACATGATTGTAAATAATGTAGGTACAGAAGGAAAGAAAATGGGTAAATTAATTTATATATAGGATATTTTATTTATAAAATAATTGAAGCAATATGTGTGGCTCAATCTGAAGATTTATGTGAGATCCAATGTATAGATATCTCTGAAGGTATTAATTTTTTAAATATAATTAAATATAAAATTTTAGGCATGGATTCTGAAGAGGATACTACAACAAGCCAGATTCTTGATAGCAGTAAATATAAAGGTATATTGGATAAAAAAGTTTTATTACAACACAGTGGCGTAGACAAGGGGGTGTCGAAACCTTCCCCCCCCCCATGGAAAAAAAATTTTTTTTTTTTTTTTATAAAATAAAAAATTATTTTTTTTTTATTGCGAATAATTATATTTAAAAAACGGTTTCAATTTAGAGAAATAAGATAATATATTATATATAATACAATATGAATATGAATATCACAATGAAATATATTTATAAAAAAAGGAGTTTTAATTTTAAATGATCACATCGTTTAAAAATATATATAAATTATATGAACTAAAATATTAAATAACAATAAAAGAATAAAGATATATTGTATGTAAATAATTTCTGGCATAGTTAAATTTATTAAATAACAATAAAGATATTTTGTAAATATTTTCTGGCTTGGCATAGTTAAATTAGATATTTATAAATTTAATTATTAAATATATATTTTTAAACTATATAGATAGTTTGTAAATTTTAATTTTTTATAATTTTTAAATATGGATATCCGTAAGTTTTTTCGTCAACAACAAAAAGAAAAAGGTATATAAAAATTTAAGTTGTGTAATTTGAATTAGAAATATATATAGATAGATGTTGCTCTTGCTAGTAAAAATCAGCCATCAGTTGAGTTGGTTTTCGTTGTATCCTCAGATGACGAAGGTAATGGTATTATTTATAATATCTTTTAATTAAATCTTGCAATTAGAAAGACCAGACATACCATTACCATTCCATGGGAAAACCAATGATGAGTTAGCTACAAAATCATCAAATGATGGTAAATTATTTATAATTTCTAATATTTTTTAATTAAAAATAGAAACATTATGTGTTACAAAAGCATGTGAGCTATCAGTTGATTTAGCTGGAAAATCATCAAATGATGGTATAGTATTTATTTTAATTCCATTTTTTTATTTGTAAATTATACTATTTTCATTTTGAGTTATTAAAATTTTGCAATGTACGATATTTAAAAGTTAGTCATTTTTTTGTGTTATTCAAAAGGTAGTACATTATAAGCCAAGCAGAGTTGAGAAGTATTGAAAACAACAATAAGAATAAAGATATATTGTATTTGTAAATAATTTCTGGCATAGTTAAATTAGAATATTAAATAACAATAAAGATATTTTGTAAATATTTTCTGGCTTGGCATAGTTAAATTAGATATTTATAAATTTAATTATTAAATGTATATTTTTAAATTTAAACTATTTAGATAGTTTGTTTTGTTTGTAAATTTTAAGTTTTTATAATTTTTAAATATGGATATCCGTAAATTTTTTTGTCAACAACAAAAAGAAAAAGGTATATATTAATTTATTTATAAAATTTAAGTTATGTAATTTGAATTAGAAATATATATAGATGTTGCTAGTGAAAATCAGCCATCAGTTGAGTTCGAAGGTAATGGTATCAGCCTCTACATGAGCGGGGGGGGGGGGGGTAGAAATAATTTGCATCCAAATATCCTAAAAGGGGGTAGGGGGTAGGCATCAGTTGGGGGGTAGAGTAAAAATATTTAGAATGTTATCTACTGCATTTTTGAATTATATGTGAATAAAGTTTGCTTTAATTATTTATAATATAATAATAGACCTATTATAATAGAGATAGATTACTAAACATCAACGTTACAATCATAATATATTTGTTCATTCATTAAAATAGTAGATCAGCTGGACTCGCCATTTTGTCAACATTTAGGATAATTATTTTCATATTTACAAATTTCTTGAAATTAAAACAACAAAAATATATAATACAATTTTATGATCCAAATTGATGTTATTTGAAAATATGTTATTTTAAAAAGATTTTTCAATATTTGAAGATATTTGCTATCCATATTTTCCTAAAAAGTATATTAATAATTTATGAATTATAATTGCCTTTTCTTCTTTTATGGAATCTATAAATAATAATAAAAATCTTTTCATAGGTCGATTTTAATCATATTACACCATTTTTAAAACATCTATTTTATTATTAATATATTATTACATCATTAAATTATAGATATTTTTATTAAATCATCTTTTTAAAATGGATATAAATTTTTTAAATGCCAAGCAATAAGATAAATTACAAGGTAAAATGCTTGCATACAGGCTGCAACTCCAATAAGATTAGAAAAGACAAAATTAATTTACATTACAAAACAAGACATCCTAATAGTGATGTAAAGTTTGAGGTAATAGCAATTAAAAAAGATAAGGTTTGGAACAAACTTGGTCCAAATGCAAATAATCTTAAAATAACTAATGGAATCAATACTCAATTTAAAAAAAATAAATCAATTGCAACATATTTTCAAAAGGAACTATTTTTTTATTTTTATACATGCTTTTTATATCATATTTAAGTGATCAATATATAATTTTAAACACTTTTAAGGAAATTGACTCTCCATTAGATACTCTTAAGATAAATCTACCACAACCATTACATAATATTATCACACTAAATCAAGATGAAGAAGTTTTTTTAAGTATTTATACTATAATTTATTCATTTGATCTAAAGAAAACTTATAATATGGAGACTGCATTCATTTTTAAGGACAAAGTAGTAATTATTTCAAAATATTATAAATGACCATTTTTTATATTTAAAATTAATAGCAATCTCATTTAGATGCCCCCTATCCAGAAATTATTCCATTCTTAGATGATGAAACATGGGTATTATAATTTTTTAAAAAAAAAAATTTTTAAAGAATCTGACAGCATTTACAATTTAATAAATTAATATTCTCTTTTCAAAATATAGAAAATTGAAAATATGCCTAGAAGTTCTAATTTAGACAACCCAGAAAAAATATCTTAAATTTATCAACAATTAAAGAAGTTTATAATTTAAATATTATTTAATAATGTCTTTAAAGGGTAAAAATGATGATATTGATATGCAAACATTAGAATCAATTTATATAGATAAAGTAATAACCTTAAGCTATCTATACATTTTAAATTATACAGTTACCAAACAAAGCTAAAATAACTCCTTTATCATATGAAGATAATGAAGAAAATATTATTTCTTTATATAAGGAAAAGAATCCTAATGATCCCTTTCATTTTTTTAGATTTAGAATGACAAAAAATATGATTGATTTTATAATTCAATTTGGTCCACTACAACCAAGTTCCAATGAATTTATTTATCCAAAAACTCATAACAGGTTGGTTTAATAAATTATTGCTGCAATATTACTTATATATTATTAATTATTCAAGAATTATGTATATATTCATATATTGCTTTTAATGTAGGAGCATGAAAGATGCCTATTATAAAAAAATAAATTATGACAAATCATTTTCTTAAAGAAAATGGCTATCATATAGCTCTATTTTGGATAAAGTATTCTGTATCTTCTGTATTGTGTTTGGAAGTCATCAAGCAAGCATGCAATGGACTCATAAAGGTGCAGATAGCTGGAATAATTTAGTCCGGGATATGGAGAGACATGAAACATCCCCTGTTCATGCAGATTGTGAATATGCACATATGGCATGGATTTCTCGGGGGCGTATTGATTACCACATTTTATTCAACCGAGAGGAAATTATAACCCAAAATCGTTATATTATCCAAAATATAATTGATGCTATTGTGTATTTAATACGGGGCAATATTGCTTTTTTGGGAAGCAATTCTCATGATGGTAATTTTTCAAGACTTATAACTTTGATCTCAAAGAATGTTCCAGTATTAAGAGCATATCTAGAGAAAAATAGTAGTTCACGAGGAAAAAGTGGTAATAAAATATTAAGGCCACAAATAAACTTCATATCCTATGGCCATGTTAAAAAATTGGCTTAGATAATAAAAATAAAAATATTGAATGAAATAATTAAACAAATTATGTCAAATTGTGCCTTTAGCTTAATATTAGATGGTACATATGATATTTCAAAAAAGGAATGTGTTGCCTTAATTATAAGGTATATACAAGAATATCCACACCCACACCCAGTAGAAAGAATCATTAATATTTTTACAACTTCTGACACAACAAGAGAAAATATTAAAAATAATGTTCTAACTAAATTAAAGGCATTACATCTTCCACTAGAATACCTGATTGGGCAAAGTATGGATGGTGCTAGTAATATGAGAGGTGTTAATAAGGGAGTACGGGCTTTAATATTTAAAGAAGCTCCTAAAGCTATTTATGTCTGGTGCCATGCTCATAGGCTTAATTTAATTGTTATTCGTATATGTGGATATGGGAATGAAATTAAAAAAACTATGGGAATTTTAGATGAATTATATAATTTTATGAATGGAGTTAAACGCCAGGGTGTTTTTACCAAATTTCAAATGCAAAAAACCAAAAAATCTCTCAAAAGAATAAAAAACACAACAAGGTAAATAAATATAATTTTTTTAAGAATTTTATTTATTTTCAGAAATTGGGCATCATCTTTCAAAGCATTACAAATTTTTTTAGATGTTTATGAATATATAATAGCCTCCTTGACAGAGTTAAGCAATTCTGATGACGCAATCACATTTTCAATTTCTGAGGGATTGCTATCTAGAATAAAACGATATGATTTTATTTTAGGATTATTTATTTTAAGAATAATCTTAAAATGTACACATGAAACTTGCATTGAAATGCAGGCAATTGGAAATGATTTAGCAATGATGATTAAATTGATCCAACATACAAAAAATAAATTCCAAAGATTAAGGGGTAAATTATTATTCATGTATTTTAATTACATTTTCTAATTAAGCAAATGGTGATAATACATTAACATCATTACATACCGATGTTAAATCATTTATGGATAAGAATAATGTTACAACCGATATTTATAATATTAAGTCAATATTTAAATTGGATCAAAAAGAGTTTGATAATTATATTGAACAACAAAAAGAAAAGTTTATGAAAAGTATATTTTAAAATAATATATATTTTTTTAGATATAAAAATGAAAATTTTTACCCAGTGATTAATATGATCATTGAACAATTAAATGAAAGATTTAATTATGAATCATTAAACTTTTTAAATCAGATTTCTATTTTTACTCCTGAGGGATTAGCAGATAATGAGAATATAATTTCCCAGATATCTGAAATTGTGTGTTTATATAATTTTGATGCACAGAAAATTATAGATGAATTTTCCAATTTTATACCATTATACTTAGATTCCTTATCAATCATTTATAGTAAAGATTTAATCAATATTAGAAAAAATGATACCTTATATGATGAAAGTTATTAATTTTATTAACAACTTAATTTTATAATATGTTTACAGGTGAAAACATTATAAATGATAGTAAAATGACCGAGGCTGAAATATTCATTTATTCTACCATATAGATTATTAATTAAATCAAGTTCTTTTCCTTATCTTAAAATTTTATATAAATATCTTATAACCCTCCCCACCACCTCATGCTCTGCTGAAAGAGCTATGAGTAAAGTCAAAATTGTTAAAACACGTATTCGAAATAAAATCTCTGATTCTTTTTTAAAAAATTTATTATTAATATCAAGTGAAATTGATATATATGATACATTTAAAACAGTTAAAACAGAAGATATTATTACAGATTTCGCGTTAACTTCTAAAAGACTATCTAATCTTTTAATTGGATAATCCTTTTTTTTTAATATTAAACAGCAATAAATTTAGACATTTGGCATTATAATTCCCTTTTTTCAATATTTGAATAAATTTGGATTACTAATCCCTTATTAGTTAGTCATTTTTAATTAGTCTTTTTCTGCACATATATTTATATTCCTTGTGTTATATCTTTAACATTAAAAAAAATGATTATGTAGCTCCTCACATTTTTTTACTTTTGTACCCAAATTAATTTCGTTTTTCCAATTAGATGGAAGTGAGGAATACCTAGCGTAGCTCTGTTGTTTACTCAACGTTTAGAGGGCATATGCGCTATATTTCACGTATCACGTAATTATAATATCCATTTTTTTAAATATTAAATAGCAATAAATTTAGACATTTTGCATTATAATTCCCTTTTTTATTTGAATAAATTTGGATTACTAGTATTAGTTAGTTATTTATAATTAGTCTTTTTCTGCACACATATTTATATTCTTTATGTTATATATATTTTTAACATTAAAAAAATTATAAATAAAATAAAATTATTATGTGGAAATTAAAATATATAATTTTTTAAATTTCGATAATTTTTATACCAATAAATATTCTTCCTGTAATTTATATATCATTATTTCATAAGATATTCAGACTTATATTTATAAGATTATAATTTATTCTATCGTAATAATGCCGCCGAAGGTGGCAAATTTTTTTAGGGGGGTAGGCTGAGGTTTTTGAGGGGGGTTTGCATCGAGTGAAAATCCTGTCATGTAGACGCTGAATGGTTATCAATATCTTTTATTTAAATCTTGCAATTAGAAATACCAGACATACCATTACCACTCCATCTCCATGGGAAAACCAATGATGAGTTAGCTACAAAATCATCAAATGATGGTATATATTCTAAATTATTTATAATTTCTAATATTTTAATTAAAAATAGAAACATTATGTGTTACAAAAGCATGTGAGCTATCAGTTGATTTGGCTGGAAAATCATCAAATGATGGTATAGTATTTATTTTAATTCCATTTTTTTTATTTGTAAATTATACTATTTTCATTTTGAGTTATTAAAATTTTGCAATGTACGATATTTAGTTATAATTTTAAAGTTAGTCATTTTTTTGTGTTATTTTGCAAAAGGTAGTACATTATAAGTCAAACAGAGTTGAGCAGTATTGAAAACTTGTATCTACAATACAAACAGAGTTGGGCAGGCCCTCCAGAAAAATAATCTAGATACAGATTTGTTGTGAAAAAATGAATCTTAGATATAGATAATTTATCATTACCAATTAAACTAGAATAGTTTATAAAATACAGTTTTTATTATTTATTTGTGAAGAACATAATTATTTTCTTAAAATCTTTTGTATATACAATCTTGGGCAGCTTATAATATTTAGGAACTTATTTTCATAATTTAAATATTACTACCTTCTTCACTTCCATGAGTGTAAATCATCCTACAAATATAAAAATATTAATTAAAATTGGTAATGATATTCTATAGTAATTTCCTTCTACTTGTATCTGTCTTTAAATTTTTATTAAGAAACTTTGATATCTATCTGAGATACATTTTTTATAATCCAGATTTTTTTCTTGTGCTGCTCAGCTCTTAACATTGAAATTCATATTGAAATATATCATTTAAAATCTAAAAAAAAATATAGAAACACCACACCGTTCTCAAAAAGATGTTTCACTTTACTTAAATTTTCATTTTAAAAATGATAATAAAAAATTGTTAGCTGTTGAAAATATTTGGATACCTGACAAATGTTATAAATTTCCATTACCCTTGGCAAAAGAAATTTAACCTTTCAAGCATCCTGGCTTAACAAATATAAGTGGCTTGCTTACTCAGCCGATGAAAAGGGCGCATTGCGTCATATTTTCCCCAAGATATGCTGGGTTACAAAAACTCAAAACATTGGTAAGTCAGGTGTACACAAGATGGAAAGATGCGCTCGAAAATTTTAATTATCATCAAAAAAATAAATATCATCTTAATTCCTGTGAGATAATGGATTCTTTAAAAGAAATCTCAATGAATCAAAAGATATCAATATCCAATGTATTGAATAAAAAAAAATTTGATATTGTTACAAAAAATCGATCAAGAATAATTATAATTATTGATGCTATCATTTGGTTAGGGAGGCAGTCTTGGCGTTAAGAGCTCATAGGATATCTCCTGGCCCCCTAACACTTACATCCCCTTCTCACAATGAAGGAAATTTCAAGGAATTATTGAAATTTTTATGTAATAATAATGACAACTACCTAAAGCTTTTTGAAAGCTCCTCTAAAAATGCTACTTACCTAAGTCCCACTATTCAAAATGAAATAATATCAATATGCAATCAGTTTATATTAAAGGAAGTTTCTTCAAAAGTCAAAGCATCACCATTTTTTAGTGTTTTGGCGGATGAAACTTCCGATATTGGTAATATTGAACAACTATCCATTGCAATAAGGTTTATTGATATAGAATCAGGTAATTATAAAATGAAGGATCTATTTGTTCAATTTATTGAATTACCTGACACTAAGTCAGAAACGATTGCTAATCAAATTATTAAATCACTTCAAAACCTGGATTTAAATTTAAATCTACTGATAGGCCAAGGGTACGATGGAGCTCCCTCGATGAGTGGCCATGTTAAAGGGGTCCAGTCAAGAATTAGAGAGCTTTATAGCACAGCTCTTTATGTTCACTGCAGTTCACATTGCCTGAATTTGATGATAACTGAGGCATGTGAAATTAGAGACATCCGGAACAGTTTACGTAAAAAGATTTTGATTTAATTGAAATTTATTAGATTTTATTATGTATTATAGATATCTTTATATAATTTTTATATATTTTGCAAAATTTAGAAGCAATATCGTCGGTTTGTGACTTCTTTACCCCACCCAAGAAGAGGGAGATTTTTACCCAAACGTTCGATGAAATTGATTCAAAAAATTAAAAAGATTTTGTCCCACAAGATTCATTGAAAGACAACAATCGGTGAAGGTTTTCATCGAGTTATATGAGGTTATTTTTGCGGCACTGGAATCATACATATTACGCAAAGAAAAAGATTCCGCAGATGCGGAAAATCTTTTACAGGCTATTACGAAGCCTCAATTTTTAATTTCAATTCAATGTGTTTATTTTTTATTTAATTATACATATGATTTTAGCAAAATGTTACAAAAAATTGATTTGGATTTAAGGGAGGTTATGAATAGGGCAAAGGATATTGTTGAAATATTAACAAATATCAGAGATAATGTGGATGAAAAATTTCACGAAATATATGAGAAAGTAAAGGAGATCGCTAATATGTTTGGGATTGAAATTTTTAAACCTAGAGTAGTTTCTAGACAATCCAATCGCTCAAATATTGATGCATCTACGATTGAGGATTTTTATAAAATTAACATTTTTATTCCACTTATTGATACATTTTTATTTCAATTAAAGGAAAGATTTATAAGTCACAATTTTATTTTAAAAAGCTTTTATTTTCTTTTGCCGGTTGAGTCTGAATTGTTGATTACACTTGAAACGCGAGAGGATATTAAGAACATCTCAGAGTTTTATTCTGATGATTTATTAGGGTCGTATGATAAGTTACTTTGTGATGTCGAATTTTGGTATAAAAATCTTGGTAGAATAGAGTACTCTTTGAGACGAAAAAATGCTTTGCAGGCCCTTTCCATGTGTAATTGCACTTTAGATTCCCTGCCCAATATCAAAACATTGTTTTTTATTTTAGCTACTTTACCGATTAGTACCTGCACTAATGAAAGGTCTTTTTCAACTTTGAAAAGGTTAAAAACCTATTTAAGAAATAGCACCGGTGAAAACCGTTTAAATGGATTATCCCTATTAAATATTTATAAGGAGATTATTCTAGATAAAAATTTGATTCTAGATGAATTAGCCAAATCTCAGAGAAAAGTAGATTTCTCTTTATAAATTCAAATCATATAATTGTAATATTTTCTTAGTCATAAAATTTTTTTATGTAAAACTTAATTATAATGAATTTTTAGTCATGATATTTTTATACTATATTTAATAATAGTATTGCACCTACAATAAGAATTATTTATATAATATACTCATTTGTATTAAATATAACTGTTAAATTATATTTTTTTAAATTGCATACAAGAATTACTTATATTTTATTGTAATTTTATTTTTTTAAAATATAGATATTTACAATCAATTTTTAAAATAGTAATCTGTATAAAATTTCTAATTTGGAAATTTATTTTTTGTATATAAAATAAACACATAGTTAAATAAAGGGTTTATACCAAATAAAATTGTTAAATTGTATTTTTTTAGCAAGAATTACATATTTTATTGCAATTTTATTTTTTTAAAATATAGTTATTTACATTCAATTTTTAATATAATAATCTGTATAAAATTTATATATTTTGAAATTTATTTTTTTATATATTATTAAAATAAATACATAGTTAAATAAATAAAGTTAATAATAAATAAAATCTCTGCAAAATATTGTTATATGCAAAAATTTAATAAAGATAATTATTTTTAACATAGAATAAGATATATTGAGTTGATCATAAAATTGGAAGGTTTGGGGGGAGGCAAAATTTTTTTACATCGAATAGATTGAATTAATATACAATTTACTAAACATTGATAACATTTTCAAAATAATGCTTTCAGTCGCTTATTAATTATAAATTTGGAAAAAATTTTAATTCTAATATTTTTTAATATTTATGCTGGCCTGGGTATAATACACAAAATATTGGCAAATTTTGATAGGGGGTTTGGGGGCGAAGCCCCCAAAAAATTTTTAAACCCACCCCTCCCCCATGGATCAATCCTGGCTACGCCACTGTTACAACAAATTACATTTGATGAAATACATTTTAAAATTAACCTTATTTAGATTTATTAAATAATGAAGAAAGTATTGTGAGTGAATGACATGATTATAAATAATGTAGATATAGAAGGAAAGAAAATAAGTAAATTAATTTGTTTATAAGATATTTTATATTTATTTATAAAATAATAGAAGCTATACGTTTGGCCCAATCTAAAATAACAACTATACAAGTATTTTTTTCATTTTAACAATATTTTTCTTCAAATATATAATATTTGTCATAATTTTCATAAAAGCAATAATATTTTAATTTTTATATTAATATTTGTCACTTTTTTAGAAGAGCTTATACAAGTATTATTTTTATTTTAACAGTGTTTTTCTTCAAATATATAATATTTGTCATAATTTTCTAAAACCAATAATATTTTAATTCATTTATTAATTTTTATCACTTTTTTCAGAAGAATTAGATCTGGGTACTAAAACAACTGGTCCTATGCAACCTATATTAGGTGCCTATCCATATATTGGAATGGGTAAAGATAAACGATACTTTCAAACTCAGTGGTACAAATCCTTTCCCTGGATTGAATATAGCATAACCAGAAACTCTATTTTTTGTTTTCCTTGTCGTAATTTTCCCACTCAACCTCAAAAAGGATACCTTTTTAATCAAGGTTATCAAAAATTTCGTAAGGTAAAAGAATACTTAACAACTCACGGAGCAACAAATGGTCATGCAACGAATGTAATTCTCTGGAACCATTTTAAACAATCTTTGATAGAAGGAACCATTAAAGAAAAATTTATAGCTCTAACTAAATCAACAATACTTGAAAGAAGAGAATATTTGAAACGATTATTCAAAATTATAATACTATGTGGTGAGTTGGAACTTCCCCTTAGAGGTCATTATGAAAGTAAGACAAGCAATAATCAAGGAAATTATTGTGAAATATTAAACTGTTTGAAAGAGTATGATCCATTTTTAATAGCATATAAACCACCAGGCAATGCTCATTATTGCTCACCTCAATCACAAAATCAAATGCTATCTGCAGCTGGAAACTTAATCGTAAAGTACATAGCATCAGAAATAAGGGAGGCAGGCTATTTTGCTGTCATGGCTGATGACACTCGTGATGTTAGCTCATATGAGCAATTTAGTATATGTGTTAGATATGTTAATAAAACAAAAACACCAAAGGAATCTTTTATATCTTTTCAAAAAGTTGAAGACTTAGATGCAGAGTCATTAACGAACACATTAATAACAACCTTAAACAACAATTCCATAAATGCAATTTGCGTTGCTCAAGCATATGATGGTGCAAGTGTTATGAAAGGGCATCTTTCAGGAGTCCAGGAAAGATATCGCCAAAATAACAAAATGGCTATATATGTGCACTGCTATGCGCATAAACTCAACCTTGTACTGATCTCTGCCTGCAAATCAGTACCTCAATCTAGAAAGTTTTTTTGGATCCCATATTAGAACTATCGAGGCAGTAAAAATGACTTTCCCTGCAATTATTTCTTATCTAGAAAATATAGACCATGGTGATGTGGTGAAAGCAAAGGGAATTTTATATATTCTTTTACAATATGATACAATTATGTGTATGTTTATATTCCAAAAATTATTATCTATGTGTTCCAATATTTCTATTTTTTTGCAAAAATCAGATTCGGACATATCAACAGCATTGGCTCTTATTGAGTCTCTTATCAATTCTTTGTCAAATTTAAAATTCGTATTTTTCTTCATTATTTACCGAAGTAAATAAATTTTGCAATTTATATAATATAAAAATAACAAATAAAACAGCAAATATACCTTCTACCATTTTGAATAATTATATTCAAATAGATGATATTGTTTCTTCTAATCATTCTGATCAAACAGAAACTTTTTATAAATGTCATGTC